AGTAGTGGGATTAGATCCATCCTTATTCACGTGAACTTTAGATTTCAAATTAGGATGAAACTTATGACATTTATCAAGTGTATGCCCAAACATCTTACAATGAAAACAGTAAGGCGGTCTATGCTCCATAACGATTTGTTGCCAATATTCATTCTGAGTTGTGCCCAACCAGACTTAGTAACATCAGGTAAAATAATATCTTTTTCCATAAGTTTTCTGGTCACAGAAGGTCTAGTTAGGTTGAAAGTCGGTAGATTTAGTTTGATAAGGTCCACAAGTATGACCCTAATAGAGTAAAGAACCTAATGATGAAAAAAATACAGTTTGAGACCTGATAGATTGAACCATACCGGTACAATAGGAGGTTCATGATTGAAGTTAAAATCAGGAGATCACTTGAGTAGCTTCATTGATTTACCAACAATGCTGAGATATTTTTTGGAGAAAATCCGTGTAGTCTTCAGTCACGTTAATTGAATCAATACATATCTCCCATCTATGAGCCCCACTTTCCAATTTCCTGCTAATTTGAGATCATCAAAACTTTTCCTGATAACTTTCATAGGTGAGTGCCCCCAGAGTGCCCCCACGAGTGCCCCCACTGAAATTTTCCAATAAAAGCAAATTTGAATTTGTCAGTCAGGATTGAAATTTCTAACTCTGAGAAAAAGTGTGCTGCTTTCTCATTTTTTCTACTTGCATTCTTAATAAATGGGCAATCACATGTACCATCACGATATTCCTTATAACTTGAGGGGATGACAACTACCGTCTCCACCTGAGGATTACCCACCATGTGGACAAAGGAGGCTATGCCAGGTTCAACTGAAGAAAAATTCAACTGAAAAAAAATGAAGCTCCATCACAACAATTAGAAGCCCTGCCAAGTCGGTCAGAGGGTAGGAATGACGAGCCGAAGACGGTCAGGAGCTGAAGAGACCAAACACTCGGTGCTATCGAGCTAAGTCGAGAAGGTAGACAAAGGAGGAAACGAGCACGCAACCCCTTCTCGTCTTCAGTGAGTGAAGGAAGACGCGACCCCTTCCTGTCTTCCGTGAGATGTAATCGAACAAAGACGACGAGATGCGAACTCTGTCGGCTTCGATCAGAGACGACGAGACGAGAGCTACCGTCGATGTCGAAGCAGCGCGAGCCGACGATGACGAAGAGGATGGTGAGACGACGCCGGAGAAATGATCTTTAATGCGATAAGGGTTGCTAGTGTTCAACATGGGTGGAAACCCTAGCAGAGCCGAACGTGGGAGACGACATCTTTAAAAGAAATTTATATATATATATATAGACACACACACACACACACATACATGATAGTAATAAACTACAAATATTCTTAATTTAACTATTAAATTTACTTTTTATAATCCTTCTTAATTTTTATTCAATACATACATATGTACATATATATTTATTTCAATGTATCTTATTATTTTTATTGTTATTATTATTGTTATTATGTTTATTATTATTATTAAATAAATTTAATTAAATGTTTTAAGACTTATCATGGTCATCGTAAAACACGCGACTGTCTCCTTCGCACCGCTCCAACGCATGCAACTCCATCTTCTCTCTCGTGAGCACGACGTTGATGGCTCGATTTTAGCTCCCTCTCGCACGAAAGCTCAAAGTCGACGTCTCCTCTGCTTTGCTTGAGCCTCTCTTGCAGGTGAGTCACACCCTTCCTTTTCCCCCTCCTCCTTTCTTTTTCTTTTGAACTTGCCTTGACTGCCCTCTATGCTTCGTTTATTAGAATGCAAGTGACCTCTGAGTTCCTGATTGTTGGATTCCTCTCGCTTCTTTAACTGTTCGACTCCTCACTTTGTCAACTTCTGTTAATTTCCACGACGACCTCCCTTTCTCTTTATTGATTCTTCGTCCCTCGTGTAACATAACTGTTACTTGCCCACTTACAAAAGTTTTTTCTTCGAAATTTATAAACAGAACTCAAGCAAGTTAACATGAGCTATCTATGAAACTAGCTTCATTAGAAAAAAGATGAGAATCACTATAAAGGTAAAGACTCAATAAAGGCGACTCAAATATACTTCGAAACACATAGTTACGGAAACATGAAACATGCTAGGAAAAATAAAAAAACACCAAACTAATCAGAGCTCATCACCAACAACCGTTGGTTCTTCAAACTCACTATGCGTAAGGGAATGTACTCGAGGTCGAACCGGTTGTCTTGGTGGACCTTGGGTAGGAGTTGAGGCTATAGACTATCTTTTTCTGCCCCCTTACTGACTTCTGTGAAGAAGCTCCACCTGATTTTTGATCTTCAATGCTCTTTTGGCTAAGAGATAAACAATATCTTGCTATATAACTAGACTGACGACAACAGTAGCAAGTGTTAGAGCTCATCAAACATTTACGCGTATGTTATCTTCAACATTTGGCACACGTGACTACTGTAATTTCAGTTGTACCTCTGCTGACTTCACCAAATTGTTCTTAGACTTCTTTCCATTGGATCATTCTGAGTGATTTACATGCTCACTTTCATCATTATTCTTCCTCGTATTATCTCCTTATGCTTCTAAGTAATTTGGTAGTCGTTTTTCACTCTTCTAGCTTATTCCACTTGTGTCAAATATTTATCAATCTCTAAAGTTTACAATGGGTGTCTGTTTGAATCCTTTAATCCCAAAAAAATTTTTTAGTAACATGTGTTAGTGCCCAATAAACCCTTATGCTATCTTCTGCATTTGGTACAAGTGGCTATTGTATTATGAGTTGTACCTTTGCTAAATCTTTTTGAATTTTACTTGGATTTTTTCCCATTAGATCCTTCTGATTGATCACCATGGTCTTCATCAATACTCTTCCTCTTGTGCGCCTCTTTACGCTTCTGAGTAAACTAATAATCAATTTTCACTTGTCTTGTTCGTTCCACTAATACTGAGTATTCATCAATCCCTAAAGGTATCTGTGACTGTCTGATTGAATTCTTTAATCTTGCAATGAATCTGTAGTACTTTTTTTGCTAAAATTTTGGTCAATTGTGGCACATATCTTAACAATACAGTGAATTCTGCTTTGTACCTCATGACTTTCTTCTCTCTCTGAACCAATCTAGTAATTTTGTCCTGCATTTGTCTTTGAGCGAATAGGGGTACAATCCATTCTCCTCTTGGCTGCCTATCATATTGGGTATGTCCCTTGCTTTTTCTGACGCTGCACATGCCACCACCTTTCGGCTTCTCCATCCAGCACAAACAAATCTAATGACACTCTTCTTTCATCCGGACAAGCCATAGTATCTATAATCTTCTTAATTAACATCAGTCAATCTCTGCTTCAGTCGAATTTGCAGTTCCCTTAAAAGTGAACGTAAGTCTTGAAATATCTTTATGTACTTATCTACAACGACTGTATCATTTCCGATAAACTGTGATCTAGACTTCTGGTCAACTAAATTATCACTACCATCGTTTGGATCATGACATTTGTATTTACATTTATAGTAGGATGTAATACTTTATTTTATAATAGGCTTACTTCTATTATAGTTTCGGACGTATCTTTATGCCTGAATGAGTATAATTATTAACTAGAGTTAGCTTAATCTTTTTAATTATTATTATTAAATTAATTTAAACATTTGATATTTAAAACATATGATGCCATTTAGTGAATATTACTATTTAAATAACATATCTATATCATTCTATATCTATACAATTGTTGCCGGAGCACCATCTAAAAATTTTGCTAGTTAAGGCACTTCAATATTAATATCTTTTTCTATTTATGTACATGAATGTGGTAGCATTCCCCTATTAGTACCATAAAGTGATGACTATCATAATCATTCATGCACATACAAACAATCAATATAGACATATCATTCATCTGCTAATCATAGTCATTTTAGTTTACTTATTAGTGTGAGATTTGGTACTCATTTTTCTAAGATGTTCTCTCATCCTAAAACTTTTAGTTTTTTTATGTCACCCTTGTAACTTGAACACAAAAGATATCGAGTATATTTGCTTCAGATAGGTTTATGAACTCATACAGTTGTTGTATCATAATATTTTAAAATAGCATAATTAGGGTTCTAAATCGCATAGAATACTTATAGGTATGGTCTGGCAACTGGAAATATAACTTGCTCCTAATGCCTTAGAACCATCACACATCAGACAGATGATTGCATCAAGTCCCTCAATGCTGGATGAACTCTGTTTATGATGTGCAACATTGTATTCTGTAGGGGAAATCCAGTAATCCCTTGAATGCACACATCATTACCATTTTCTTAGAACAATTATTGCAATTCTAGATGGTAACAATTGATTTTCTTGTGGTAGAAATTAAAATGCACATTGAATTACCATGAACTTTACTTGAAACACAGCTTGCATTAGAGGCAGGTCTCTACTTGGTAATAGATTCGCATTATTTCAAGGATGACCAACACTAGCTTAGAAGGCAAAACACGAGCAACACAGTAAATTCTTGTCGAATATACATATGAGAAGGCTTTGTGGTTATCTTATATAAAGTTAAATAGGTGGAGTGCTTCTCATATGTCAAATATAGGCTGATGAAATCATTCATGAAAATGTCCTAAATTCTTTGAGGAGCTTTCATAAGAATTATGTCCTCTATCATGATAAGAAGTATTTAGTTGAAAACCATCATTCAATTTATGCACCTTAACGGATATTACATCAAGCTAACAGATTTTGTTCAGGATTATTAAAAGCTATATAATAGATAAACCGTGAAGTGGAGTTGAAGAAAAAATAAAAAAAATTGTTTTAGATTTGGATGCACTTATGATGTGCAATTTTTCCCATTTCAATTCATACATTTTGTCTTTATGTACTGATATATTAAAGTCTTTAATGAACAATGCTTTTAGTTTTGCTACTTGAAATTGTGTATTGCATAAATTCCAAGCATTTATTTTAATACTAGATACTATTCTGCTGTTCAAGTTTGTATATGAAGTTTGCTCTTCTTTACAGTATTTAGAGGAGCTGATGGGATCAATAATGGCTCGTTGGGTAGCTTGTGAAGTCAGCTTAGCAAAACTCTTAGAGGTACTACTATGAGTCATTTTTTTTTGTATGCCATATCACAGTCATTATTTACGTGGTGGAGTTAAAGAGCATTGAGTTACATAATGATTAATATTTATTTTTAAAATTATAAGAGATGTGCTCATGAGAATATTGAAGATGATTTTATCATGATTCATATTCACCTCAAGTGCTTCATACGAACCAATATAAAATATTACATGTAAGCTCTATTGATCCTCTGAAAATGAGCAGGAAAATCAGTTTTAATTCTACCTATGCTTTAGATTTACCCTTTTTTAAGTTTATCATTTTTATTTTTGGCATGATAGATATATTGCCTTATTCAGGAATGTTTCAAACTTGAATTTCTTGTTGATTATTGCATAAAAGTGGTTGTAAATATAATTATTGCTTCTGAAAATCTCGTCATTCTAGCTGCATTTGTCTACTTGGATGTTGAAAGTATCATATTTTGATGTGATATTCGAGCAAAAAGTTAAGCGCTAGTTTATTGGCAGGTGCAATGGCAAACATCTTAAAGATTTTCTTGGGTGTCCATGCAGGAACTTCAAAAGCTTTTTCCTAAACTCTTAGACGGCTAAATCAATCCTACTGTTCATAGGAATGTTCTTTGTACCTCAGGGTGGCTGCTGCAGTACAAGATTTATAATTTTGCCTACGTGGCCATAGACCAATTACCATAAGTCAAACTAGTCCAAATAAATTTGAATCAGACTCATTTTCTTGCCTTTTAGGCACATTTCTGTTAATTAAATAATTAAATTAAATTAAAATTAAAGTTATTATAATAATGTATCTAAATAGCTATTTCTAAATATATAATGATATATAAATTTATTTTAATACATGAATTTTTCTCTTTTTATTTAGTTAATTTTAATTCTTTACTAAAAAAATCATAATATAAAATCCTGCCAAATGCCAACCCTGCTCTTGTCAGCTCCTATACAATGTCTTCTTCCCCATTCTCACACCTCACATTCTCACTTTCTTGTAATTGATAATTTAGATTTTGATTATAATTTTTTTTAAGCATTTATTTGATAAAATTGGCATCATATATGTTTTTTAGCAATCTTAACTTTCCACTTCATCAATAAATTTAGTGTTTTAAATGTTGATGTATTAAATGCAATGAAACTCTATTTGTTTTTTTTTCAATGCCCATGACTTTTTCTATGCATTCAATATTTAATTTCAGGTGCAAGAGCTTTTTGTCACTAGTTCTGAACCACAATTCTTTATTCGATATTGCTGCCCTTGGCTTCTTCCTCCATTAGTTCTTAGGCGTGATATTCCAAATCTTGAATGGCTTTCTAAGGTAAATTATGAAATAATTTTACAATTCTGCCTCTCTGATTCGTTTGAAAGTTATATTGTTTAAAACTAATTGTGTGATTTGGATGGATATTGCACTTGTTATAGTTGTGAGAAATGTATATCTTATATGAAAGAGTTCATCTTACTTGATTATTCTACTGATTGTTGTTCGAACGATTTTAAACCATATGCAGACTATCAGCCAGTCTTTGCCCCTGCTTGCCAAAGAGTATTTTGTGCCAATTTTTGCTATGTGCATGGCAGTTTATTGTAATGAAAGGCCTGGTAAAGAATTTTGCGGGGCAACTGTCAGCGATTCAATACTACATGTTGCAAAAGTTTCTGAACGGGAGAGAGATGACCTTATAAAGCGAAATATGGCAAGTGTTGTTGCTGAATGGTTTCTTAGCACCGAATTTCTTATAATCTCCTTTTGTTTTCACGTGTTCTTGCTCTAGAAAACATGGATTTTTGTGAATTAATTATTTCTTAACTAGCTTTTTATTCTTATCTTATTAGCTAAAGTTACCAGAATTGGGGCAAGCTATAGCGCTCTTGTCATGAAAACTTTTAGTCTTGCTTGGTTGACATTAATGCCACAGTTAGAATTCTAAAATTATTGTTATAAACATCATATGCCGTGTTAATTTTGTTAATCTGCCTATTTTGTGTTTATAAAATTTTTATTTTGCATTTAAGTAGGTTGAATGGAGTAGTATTCTTATAATATATGTATAATATAGATAAAATTATAATAGTGAAATCTATTTAATCTACTTGCTAAAAGGTATAAAAAATATTTTAATATAAAAGATAAGATAACATTTTAATTATATTAGTTTTACTGCATAAAATGTCAAGTTGATTTTTTTCAACAATCAACATTATAGATTAATATAACTCTAGTATATGTATCGTTTAGTTGATAAGGTCCTTTGTGAGATGTTGGCAAAGTATTCCTTTAGAATCCTGGTTAGTTCATTTGATACATTCTAGTTTTACTACTTTTTTGAGGTCTTTGTAATTGTAAAAAGCTTGGAAAAACTTTACTATACCATCTTCAAACTATTAATGTTTTAAAACATAGGAATGTAAATGTTGTCATCATGGTTCAATGGAACTTGATTTGGCTGATATGCTCTTTGTTCCTTTATTGAACTTTTCAAGCCTACATGTTTGAAGTTATGCTAATATTTTTCTTTTTTGTCTTTAGCTATTTTATAATTGCCCTTTTTTTTTCAAAATTGTGCTGTGTATGAAACTTTTTTTATGAAAATTTAAATTATTCTTTACTTTTAATGGAAAAATTGTTTTAACTTTCTATAGGAAACAAGCACATTTAAATACTCATTTTCACTCAATCCTGATGCTCTGATTATTAAAATACGCATTTCTAACCAAAGGGAATTTTTATTTCTTAATTTCATCATGGGAATATTTTCCTTCAGTTTTTTTTATTTTTTTGTTGTTGGCCACTTTTTCGATATTCTTACTATCTAATTATATAATTATGAGAATGCCGGCCATTTATAAGAGTTATTTCTATTTATTAACAGGAAAAAAACACTACTTATGTTAGCAGATTTTGATCCATTAAAGCATTTTTTTTATTAATTGAGTCTCTTAGTTATGGAAAAGTAGCATCAGATGATTTTCTACTCCTGTAATTTAATTAGGTTACAATGTAAGGTGACTGTTAGTTTGGCTGTATTATCCTAGTTCCACGTGTGTTTACTCTCTTGTTTTTAGCAGGTGTCAATTGTAAGCTTTCTTCTATCTCTAGCGAGTTCTTGTGGTGATACAGAAATGCCTTTTTTTCCAAATGAAACAATTATACTCTCGGTTCAAACAGTTGTTGATGGCTTTTTGGAAATGTAGGTATCGTGCAACCTAAATATTATTTTATTAACATGTTAGTTTTTTATTGTTTTATTGATTTTCTTTCTTTTCATAGAAACGATCATCCTGGGCATGCATGTGTGGTGGACAAAATCAACATTTTTCGGCCTGATAGAGTGTTTAAAGTATTATCCCATTCAAAGTTATAATATGGCATAAGAAATTCCTTTATGTGGTTCATCTAAAAATTCTTTTTAAAATGCAGTTTTTATTAGAGATGCATTACCAAATTTCAGCAGCCATTCATCCTCGTCATAAGCGTCACACTCTTTCATCAATTGAGGTTCTTATTCGGACAATTGGACTCCGAGCTAGAGTTAGTAGCACTTCCAAGTAAGCATACTTATTTTTGAAAAGAAGGTTCATTGCTTTGAAAGTGTGCTTATTAGTGAGAAAAAAGTTTATTTATTGTTCCGTATTCCCTTTTTGACTTACATATCAAAATGTACTTGTAGCCTTTTTATGTGGTGGTTCGTTCATATTTTGGACTCCATATACCAAAATGTATTTAGTGGTTTGTATGGAAGCAAAGTTTAACGTTTTAGAGATAACCCAGCCTTCTCAACTTTAAACTGCATCTTGTGAGGGTACGGGCTGTATTTGAATAAGCAGATGGGCTTCATACTAGATGTGCTCAATAAAATACATCACAAGCTCCTTCTTTTTCATGGATTCTTTTTGGCACTTTTTGTTTTCACTTACAATCATTTTTGAGTTATAGCTTATAATTTGTTACAAACATTATGATTTTCTATCGGAAGTTGTAAGGGGCTTACTAGCATCAGAAGTTTTCTGGAAAATTTATGCTACAAAAGACCTGGCATATTTGGGAATCCTGTTACATGGGCTTTATTGAGCACTTTGTTTTAGTGTTTTAGAAGCCTTATTCTTAAACAATGCTAATATATACATTATCAATCATTTTTTTTTTGTTTTTTCTGGAACTCCTTTATTTCATTCTCTCTATCAATCTTTGCTATGGTGCAATACCTAATTTAGCAGAAAGGTAAATAGAAATTTCTTTCGAAAATATATCCCTTTTTTCATGACCAGTCCTGAGCAATAGTTGGATCATTTTTTCTCTTAAATGTTTATGGTTTGAAGGTATGCAATATTCCCATGTGCTGATCTATCTCATTTCCAAACTCGAATCTTAACTCATTGTTTGCTTATGATTTTTCAGTAGGTGCTGTTTTTATCAACCACCTAAGAGATCAAATCAACAAATCATCGATGCGGGTGCATCTCGCAAAATTTCCTGGTTGCGCACCTGCAATCCGATTGATGGATTTCAACGATCTCGTTGTGAGCTTTCTTCAATTCTAGGTTTTTCCTGACGCGGCTTTTGCGATTGAAGAAGTAATGAGCCGCAGGCTTTGCACGATTCCGAATCCTTGCTATCATAAGATTGGAATAGGATTGCCGACTTCCAAAATTCATTTATTTTTTTGCTATTTTGATTTCCTTCCTATTTCTTTATCCTTAATTAGCTTTTTTCGATGAGAAAACTTTTTATATCTTGTTATTTTTTTGTATTTTCCAACTTCTGATTTGTTTTGTGTGCATAGAGATGTAATCTCTTTTTCTACCTTAGTGAGTGCTGATCCTTTTCCTTATGTAATTTTTTTTTTGTATCTAGCGTTTGCATAGGTGATGGATCCTCCTCAACCTTGGTATCTCTTCATGTTGGTGCCCCTTTGTTTTTTTCAGTTGAGAGAGCCGCTGATTGATACCTTTCCTTGGTAAATGTCATCAAACTCCCATATTTCATCCCCTCAATATTTCACAACTACCTACCCTCTAAATTCACTTCCAAAATATTTTTTTTGGAGCCCTAGAACGGTATCATCTAGTGTCCGAGCCCAATAAATCCAAAACGTCTGTTTGGAATTATTTTCTAGTTTATATTTTTGTTTATATTTTTATTCTGTTTTGTTTTTGTTTTATTTTTGTTTTCTATTTTTCGAAAACGTGTTTGGTAGTATTATGATTTATATGATTTAAAAAATAAAAAGTAAAAAATATGTTTGGTTGGGTATTTTTTAAATTTTTTGTTTTCCATAAAGTAGTTGGGTCCACCTGCGGTCCAGTATTAAGCTTTGCCACGCATGACGTATACGTCTTCTTTGCTCCATCTAGCACAGAGTGGCGGGTGTGGGCCAGCGGTGGAGGCAATTGTCGAGGGCGAAGTGGGCGGGCGTAAAACTAGTCGTTAGTAAGTTAAAAAAGAGTGTTGTTTTGCTGACAAAATTTGAAGCACCTACTCAAGCAAGAGGGAAAATATATATCGCTAATTAATGCTAGATGAATTGGGAGATGCAGAGCTAGTACCAACCAGTACATTACGGTTGGCGGGGGAGAGGGGAGGGGCGGTTGCCTTCGGGCAATTTACACCGACGGGCGTCGGGGATGTAGAGCATGTTCATCGAGTGGCTTTAGACTGTGAAACTTTTCTTTGTCTACCTAGAAGTTCCACCAGATAGAAGGTAAAACTAGTCGTTAGTAAGTTAAAGAAGAGTGTTGTTTTGCTGGCAAAATTTGAAGCACCTACTCTAGCATGAGGGAAAAGATATATCGCTAATTAATCCTAGATGAATTGGGAGATGCAGAGCTAGTACCAACTAGTACATTCGGATAAGATATGTAGACCTAACTTCAAATGTTGAACATTACTGAATGACTGTTACTTCTTACAGCCAATTACAGATTTGATGGCTTGAGGATTTGTTTGTGAGGATACCCATTTACAGGCAGCTTTAGCTCAAGCTGTGTCCAAAGTGGGTAAATATTTGCTCTCTTAGAATGTGTTTTGGGATGAGAGTGCCTACAATAATGATGTATGTGGAGCTGATATTATTTTCACTACCTTCAATGTGGCTGACTTGACTGCTATGAGGAGACAAAATCTTTGACAAATGAGGTCGAAACCCCCTCAACCCGAGAGACTGAAGCAGGAGCGCTCTTTGCTTCTAATGTGGAGTCCTGCCAACGAGGTTGCGACCCAACTGTTTTCCTAGACCGGTTCGATAGTCTGTTTTCCAATATGAGGAGTCGGCCGGTTTTCTTGAATCACACATTTATCCTCTTTTTATATATTCACGTTTTGATGTTCTAGGTTATTTTTTTTTTGTTTTGTTTCAGAAAGCCACCGAAATCTATTTCTCCCTTTGATGTCTGTATTTGAGGGTTTGGGTAGTGTTCTGGCCGTGTCTCTCTCTTGAGGTGGTGTTTGTCTTCCCTATTTCTTATACCAGAGTTAACTCAAACGAGAACGAGGAAAATAAATATTATTAAACAAAGCAACTAGAGGTACAATCAAGCCTCTAACAATAATGAAAAGAAGACAATGAAAACAAGATTAATATTAACCTGCCACAGACTAAGTAGAATATCCGTGGACTTTGGCGGTGAGGTGGGTCTTGTCCAGTAGCTGAAGCAATTACAGTGGGCGGACAACCAGATGGCTGTCGATTGAAAGGTGACAGTATGGTCTGATAGCTTTTGAGAAGGGGAAGGAAGGCCGATGATTGCTTGATTGAGGATGGCAACATGCAACTTGGTGTTGGATGGAGCAGCAGGTGTTGGTGGCTGCTGAAAGGTGACGGCTAGCAAGTGTCGATGGTGCTGGAGGAAGAAACAGTTGCGGACGACTACTGGAAGGTGAAGGCCAATAAGTGTCAATGGTGCTGGAGGGAGCAACAGGTAAGAGTTGCTACCGGAAGGTGATTGGTAGCTGTCTACTATAATGCTAGAGGAAGCAGTAGGTGTGGATTGCTATTAGAAGAGGAGTGACCGTCGACAACGACGGTGCTGGAGGGAATAACAGGTGCAGGTGGCTATTGGGTAAAGGCTGGAGTCCTTGAACAACAAGAATGGCATTGGAGAACAACATCGGTGAGCGCAACGACTAGAGGGTGACAGGTGGTTGCGGTGCTGGGAGTGGTCGACGTCTTGCTGGGAGCTGCGGGAGGGGGTAAATGACAACAAAAGGGGCACTGGAGACGACTGGTGGCAGCTGGAAGGTGGGAGAACAACCGAGAAGGTCACCAACTCGAAGGAGTTATATCTATAGCGATTTCTTGTCGCCAGATACAACTCTCAAAATGAGAAAACGCTAGAGGCAGAATTTTGTTCTCAGAGACAATAAAAAGAAGCTTAAGAAGATAACACATATATAATGGGAATTAGTAAATAAAACAGGCAATGATTAGAATAGGAAAGAAATTGAAAAGAAAGGGGCATAGAGTAGGCGAGTAGAATAGAAGAGTCCTAGAAAAGGAAAGGGAATAAAATAGGCAAGGAATCAAAAACTAAGGTGAAAAGGAGGGAGGGGGCGGTAACTTTTTGCTTCATAGTTTGTGTGGCTGTTCCACTCTCTCAACTGTGTCGGTTCCCTGCCAGAGCCCTGCATCAATCCCCTTCCACATCCTACCCAAGCCGCTTTTGATTGCCCTTCATTGCTGCAGCCGCCCTAAAATAGCCGTCATCGCTGTTTTCACTGCAGTTTTCCCAATCCCATTCACCTATCCTCGTTGCAGTTATTTCGGTCAACCATCCCCTTGTTGTCATGCAGTCTCCTGATTTCTTTGTCGCTTCCATTGTCATTCCCTCTTATTGCTGTAGACCCGAATAGCCATTCTTGGCTATTCTTGCAGCCTTTTGACTGTTCCAACCACCATTATCATCCCCCTGCAACTGGGGGTGTAAACGAACCGAACACGAACGAACAAAGCTTGTGTTCGTGTTCGGTTCATTTAAAATTTAGTTTGTTTGAAATAAGCTCGTGTTCGTTTCTTAACGAACGAGCCGAACACG